TGGGGGGGTGGTTCACCCCTCGGGTGTCCTTGCCACTCGCCCTGCAAGCCAAGCAGACGGTGTACCGCTGGCGTTTCGCGGGGCCGCCAGGCACGTGCGCCTCGTCGGGCGCCACAGGCTCGGGACGGCGCCTGGCGGCCCCCTTCATCGGGGCCAGCGCGGCTCCCCTGGCAGGGGGCATGGCGTCACGAAGCGGTGGAAGCCGAGGGGGATCCAGTGTGCGAGAAAGTCTGAGAAGAGGTCCGCTCTGGATCTCGAAGCCTGCGCCACAAACGGCTATCGGCGTGGCGTGACCGAAACCAAGATTGAGAATGAAACTGAAAACGAACCCCATGGTAACCCTGTAGCATTAGCGAAATGTCGCGGAGGGGGGGGGGTCTAGAAGCCACCCCAACCTGGGATCTGCTACTTGTGCCACACGCACCCCCCCCTTCCTTGAACAAGTTTCAAAGAGGCATGGTCGCTCAGGCCACATTTCAAGTTGGCTACGCGGGGCGGGGGGTGTAGCAAAATCGGGTGGACCTCCCCCCCATTGCGCTCGCATCCCCAGAGATGGCCCCAGACAACCCAGTGGATGAGCATAACGTGTTGTGCATATTGTATGCATGGTTAACCTCTCTTCATGTATGGTTAGGACCGTTTGTTGACTTGTTTGGCCATACAGCGCAATGTCTTTTGAGACGGAGCCTCGGGGCCTCGGGGAACCCTTGGAGGTTTGGAGCTTCGGTGCAAGTGAAGGGTGTATTCCCCCTCCCCCTCCCTCCATTCCCCTTCCCCCCGATCTTGTCCTCCTCCTCCTCCTGCCGTAGCGATTTTGGCTCCACGGCCACTGGTGCCTCAGGGCTCGGGGACAGCCGCAGGGAGCGGGCTCTGCTGGATTCTCCTCCAAGAAGTTTCGGGAGCGGATCTTTGGGGACAGACGGCTCTGTTTTGTCGCAGAAGCTTGCCCTCTGGAACACTCCGCCCCCCGACTGGGGGCACTACGGAACGGGCTGGCCTATGACGACGGCCATCGCGGACATAGGGTCTCCATCCATCGGCGGGCATGGAGACATCGAAAACTTCAAGGCTAGCTAGGGATCCCCTCCTCAGGCTCCTCTTCCTCGCTCATCTCTGTCCCCAGCAACTCCTATGTCCTAAAGCCGAGAGCTCGAACTCTTAAGCTACGGGTACCTCAGGAACTCGCCACGGCGCTTGCCCACATTGATCCCGACGGAGTGCACAGTGCCATCCGAATCCGCCTCGATCAGCGAGCGCTGCTCGCGGACGATGCTGTACTTAGGCAAGGGTAGGCGAACTGATGTGGGCAATCATGCGGCGGAGCTCGTGCGGGTCCCTAGCCGCCACCGGAGCTGTCTTGGCGCGCTGCGTGTCCTGCGGCTGCGCCCCCTTGCCGTGCCCCTTCACGGTGGCGGGCCCCTCGGGGTTGGTGCCATTGCCCTTCGCCTTCGGCGTGAGCAGCTTCTTCACTTTCGACTCCGCGGCAGCCTTCCCCTTCTTCAACTCAGTCACCGTGGCTGCCTGCTTGTCGGCTGCTGCCTTGAGCTTGGCGTTCGCCTGAATGAGGGAGCGCATGAGCTTGAGAGTATCTTTGAGCTGGGTCTTGAGGTTGCGGTTCTCCGCCTTGAGGTCTAAGATCGTGCCAGTCTTGCGGGTGGCGCGATCAAACATGCGGTTCCGACTCCTCTGAAGCCCCTTGGCCGTCTTGGTCCTGGCGCGGAGTTTGGCCTTCAGCGCATCACGCGACAAGGCGGGCGACATCGGATCAGAGACTTTGGGTTCCTATCAAGAGGAGCGAAGCCGACGCGCCGTCGACGGTGGCACGATGCAAGAAACCTTGAGCCACAGACAGCTACGGAACCAATGGCCTGGCAGTCTCGTGGCCAGCCTCGGAGCCAGCGACGGGCCTCGGGGGTTGAGGGGGCGCCGCCTCAAAGCAGCCAAATCGAACTTCCCCGAGTAAGGGTGCGATCCGCGTGAGGGGTGCGCCGAACCACCCCCCGCGACCGTCGGCGCCCCCTCGTCTGGGCCAGGTGTTGCCAGCCAGAGCGTTGGGGGGGGGACATTTTGACAGCACCTCCCTCGAGCGGGTGACATTTTGACACGCGAGGGGGGGGCATTTTTGCACGGGGGGGGGCATTTTGCACGGGGGGGGTGACATTTTGCAGGCATTTTGCACGGGGGGGGGACATTTTGAAAACATGTTGAAAACATGTTGAAATGTTTTCAACATGTCGGCACCCGCCCCCCTTCTCCGTCAAAATGCCCCCCCTACATTTTGGCGCGGAGCCCCCTGTGCGCGAAATGTCGGGGAGAGGTGTGGGCATCGAGCTTTGCATTTGTCAAGATGCCGCGACGGTCCTCCATCTGCCGTGCTTGAGTCGCTGGCCGAGGCCCCAGACCTTGGATGCACGCCTTGCAGCAAAGGCGCCCAGTCTCCACCGAGGCCAAGGGAGAGCCCAACAATGTACTTGAAGGCTGGCCCGAGGGCTCCCACTGACTGAGTTCCGAGAGCCCCATTGACCCACTGTCCCAAACACGCAAAGCCGGCAGCCCCCCCACACAATGGGAATCAATGCCAAGTCCGCGGGGTGCTATTTGACTTTTCAAAGTGCACCCTGGAGTGACGAGAACAAGCGGTAATAGGGCAAGTGAATGTTCGTTGGAACGCTGCAATGCCCAACACCAAAACCATTACAACCATAAAACCAAGCCTGGCCACCAGGGAGCCCCATGAGAGCCCACCAGATGCTTTAATGCTGATCCAGAGGCTGGCCGAGAGGTCTTCAGGAGAAGCTTGGATGCCACGACCCCTCTTCTCATTCCTCTCACCTCTCCTCTCTGCCCCCCTCCCTCTCTCTCTCTCTCTCTCTCTCTCTCTCTCTCTCTCTCTCTCTCTCTCTCTCTCTCTCTCTCTCTCTCTCTCTCTCTCTCTCTCTCTCTCTCTCTCTCTCTCTCTCTCTCTCTCTCTCTCTCTCCTCTCTCTCTCTCTCCTCTCTCTCCTCTCTCTCTCTCTCTCTCTCTCTCTCTCTCTCTCTCTCTCTCTCTCTCTCCTCTCTCTCTCTCTCTCTCTCTCTCTCTCTCTCTCTCTCTCTCTCTCTCTCTCTCTCTCTCTCTCTCTCTCTCTCTCTCCCAACCCACTCCCTCTCTCCTCCTCCTCCTCCTCATCATCATCATCATCATCATCATCATCACCTCAGTGTTTCTCGTGTTTTGCAATACGCCCCTAGGGCGGAGAATCGTGCTCGGACTCATCGCCTGCGTTCGCTTTTGGACGCTCGTTTTCTAGAAGCAACCTCCCGATGTCGGAGGCTGTCAGGATCTCTCGAGCAGCCCTGCGCTGCTCCAGGGTCGGCTCAAACTTCAAGTGGTTATCGCTCCTCTGGCCGTGAACGACCCAAGCATACATGAAGGCTGCGGGGCGCCCACTTTGGGGGCGCAAAAGGTTAAGCTCAGCTGTCTTCCCTACCCGAGACAACCTGCATCTGGCACCATGGTTACATTCGTCACTGCCGCATGTTGCCTCGAACGTACGGCTCTTTGCATAAAAAGAAAGCCTGGCCTTGGGATAGCCTGGGAAAAAAACCAAAGCAATCACCTCGCCATCACGTACGATCACCCCACCTGGGCCGCCTGGCGGCGGAGGTGGAGGGGGCGGAGCGATCGCCGCCTCTGGCGCTGGGTGCGGCGCGGGAGGCGGCTCTGGCCCAGGTGGTGGGGGCGGTGCCTCAGGCTCGTCGGCGAACAGATCGACAATGCCGCCGTCGTCCGACTCCCCTCCCGCGGGGTCGCGGACCCCGTCGAACTCGTCGGCGCCCGGGTCCACTGGCCCACCGACGCCGTCGCCGTAGGCCGCGTCCACCACCTCGCCCTTGCGGCGGCGCGCGGGGAACGGGAGAAACGGCAGGGAGCGGAGGGCAGGCCAATGAACGACACATTGGTTAGCGAGTTGGCTCGGTTAGGAAGGGAGGTGGAGGGGCATTGAAGGGCCAGGGCCAAAGGGGTGCTCAGGCGAGGGGGCGAGGCAGAGTCGAAGTGGTGGCGAGAGGCAGCGCCAGGAGCGGAAGGGGAGAAAAGAGCTGAGGGTGCAGAACGCGAGGGAGGCAGCAAAGGAGGGGCGGCCCGCCTTTTCAAAATCACCTGCCCTCCCGCACCCCACCCACACGTCGATTGTCTCGGTGCCGAAGCTTAAATGTACCCCCCCGTCGGTCCAAGAGCTCCTCGATGGGATCCGCCACGGGACCCTCGACGTCGGGATCGGACGCGACGGACTCTGCGCAGCCCTCGTCGTGCTCAAGGTCCAGCGCGACGCCGTAGCCGTCCGCTGGAGGAACAGGGACGTCCTCTGGCCAATCTGCAGCTGGGCCATCGACTGCAGCTGGGCCACCACCTGCAGCTGGGCCACCATCTGCAGCTGGGCCGTCATCTGCAACATGGCGACCCCGACCTCGACCACCTCGGCAACCGCGTCCAGCACCGCGGCGAGCAGGGAATGCCCGACCGCCGCGCGCGCCTCGCCCTCCGCGCCCTCCGCGCTCTCCGCCACGTGCCGCAAGTGGCCAGAGCTTGTAAGCGCTGGAATGTGGCAACCTCGTCACCAGAACGAGAGCAGGTAGCAGCATTCCGAGACGACGTGCATGCATGCAGATCTTGAAGAAGTCCAGCTCAAGCCTCACCTTCCGGTCCCACGACGCAATGCAGTCGTAGTGTTCAGACCATGTCCCTGTCGCCTGGGCATAGCGATAGGCCGAACGACTCTCAAACCAGACGGGGGCAGCTTCAAGTTTTCCGCTAGGGGGGAGATGGGAGGCCCAAATGTGTTTGGTTTTATGCTGATGCACATGCGTGCGCCAAGGGGTTCTTTCCAGCTGAGTTAGTGTTACGCTGTGCAAGTGCAATCTACATCGATGTTAAGGTGCGTTGTCTGTTTAAGGTGGAGGTGGGGTAGGGCCCGCCAATGCCGCCCCGTCAAATTGCAAGTCGTTCCCCTATGCAGTGGCCTTCAGCGCCACCTCGTCTGCAAGCGGGGCCGCGGCGACGAACTCCTCCTCGTTCGGCTCAACGAGCTCCGAGAGCGTGGGCTCGCAAGGGTTCAGCGACATGTCGCAGATATGGAACCACCGCGGCCTCAAGCCCCAGAGATCAGACAACGCAATCTGCTCGCCCTCGTCCTCCACGTCGGGCACGTGCATCAGGCGGATGACAATGTGCCCCTCCTTCAAAAGGCCACGCTTGACAGGCTCCCAAACTGGGAACTCCTCCTTCATAGACCTCAGGAGCTTGTTCCGCAACCTGAACAACTCCTGGCCCGCCTTGGTGTGCAAGCAGATGCCAACCTTTTCACATATGGACGGTGCCTCTCTATCTGATGACGCAGTCGGCCCCATGGGCTCTGCGTCGCCGATGAGCCGATGAAGGCGTTCCCAGAACTTCTGCCCTACTGCGCCAAAGTTCGTCTTATGGCCTGCGTCTTTCCGATGCTGGAAGACGTGCGCAGCAGCGTCTCTAATGGCCGCTGGGTTGGTCTCGAGAATACGCACGCCTCCCCACACGGGCGCTCGTGCAACAAAGGTCCAAGGAGTGCCGCTCAAACCAGGGGAAGCACGATCAATGTCTGCAATGGCAACATCGGTGAACTCCTTCGCGTACCTGGCAACTGCGGCTTGATCAGCACGCTCGGCCTGGCGCTCTGCTGCGTTCGAGCGGCGCCGGATTGCACCCAGTACCTTGTTGGCGGACTCAGGGGTGCCCATGGCCAAGCACACCTCTTCCAGCCGAGAGCTCCCCTCCTCCGACAACTCCTTGGCGCATGACAGAGCCACCCTAGTCATGTTCCGCCTTGCAATGTCCTTCAAAGAAGCTCCAAAAGCTAGTTCGCCATTGCGTGCTCGCTCGGTTGCTTCGGCGCACTCTCGCAGAAGGTCCTGGAACTCATCGCTCTCGGGGTCGGCCTTCAAAGTACGGTACTGTTCAGCAACGGTCCGAAGGTCGTCATTGCGCATTCTCCTGACGAAGAGTCTCCATGGGCCTCCAGAAGGGCCAGGCTGTCTGCCTCCGCCGTCAGCGCCAAGGGCTGACTCCTGGGCGCCGCAGCCGCTGCCAGCTTGATCGGCGGGCTCCGGCGCATCACAGCGAAAATGAGAGTTGACTACTTGCCCCCCAGCGTTGTCGCATCAATGGGGTCGGTCTGGACTCTTGTGTTCACCGCCCTCCGAACGTGCGCATGGTAATTCTCGCGTGGTATAATGTTGGCAAAGACGACCAGGGCGTGAGCAACCAATGCAACCATGGCTTTTGACATGACCCGTCTCTCGGTATCCAGTCGCTCCTGGTTCCGCCGCTGGTTTGCCTGAACCGCCAAATGCTGCACATCTCGCACATCACACCGCGGCATGATGGGGCGGCATGCAAGGAGCGTGTCACAACGAATATCAAGATGGACAAAGATGGGCACCGAACGAAAAATCGTTTGAGCCAAATTGGTTACGGACAATACACTGTGCCACGTTCAGTGGAATCCAAGTCAACGGCCTCCCCCGAGGGGGACGGGCGACGCGTCTAAGAAAAAAACTTATCCTCCTCTACCTCGCCCCTCCTTCCTAGATCCTGCATCCCTCTGCTCCCCCCCATGTCGTTATCATTAGCTCACCTCCGTTCTTCTTATCCCTCCGACCTTATTCCCCCCGCTCGACGTTGGAAATAACGGAAACGTGGATGAGTTGAGCGTCACATGTAATTGTTTCGTAGCGCCAGGTCCTCATCCGCTCCGCAACACAGAAAGCTTCTCACATTCTGCTTCGTACACTGGACCTTTCAATTACGCTACCGAGGAACCCCACATACTTATGTTTAATATTATGCGTTTGCTTGTCATTATCATCTATGCGCAATGCTGCGTTCTAAACCCTCGTCGCGAATCGTCGTCGTACTTGTCGCACTCGTTGTCGTACTCGTCGTACTCGTCGTCGTACTCGTTGCCGCTCTATCGTCCTACTCGTCATCGTACTCGTCGTCGTACCTCGCCGTCGTACTCGTCTTCGCATTCGTCGTCGTGCTCGTCGCACTCGTCGTCGCACTCGTCGTCGTCGCACTCGACGTCGTCGTACTCGTTGTGTTGGTAGTGCTCGTTGTATTCGTCGCCGCACTCGTGGTCGTCGTCGCCCCCCCCCCCCTCCTCCTCGCCCTCCTCCTCCTCGTCCCACCCCATCCTGTCAACTCCTCCGCGCTCCTCTCAATTCCCCCGCACTTCCCTCAACTCCTCCGCACTCCTCTCAACTCATCCTCTCATATCCTTATGTACTCCTCCTTCTGCACTCCTCCGCACTCCTCTCAACTCCTCCGCGCTCCTCTGAACACCTCCGCACTCCTCTCAAATCCTCCTCCTCACAACTCCCCCGCACTCCTCTCAACTCCTCCTCCTCGCAAGTCCCGCACGGCCGCGCACGGCACGGCACGGCACGGCGCCGACGAAAGGCATGGCACGGCAGTGATTCCCGACGGCCCCAAGGCTTTGAGCGTGCCTCCAGACACCGAAAGAAGCGAAAAACCTCCTCGAACCTCGAAGTGCGTCGCCGTCGTCGTCGTCGTCGCCGCCAGACATGGTCAGACCTCCGGCGGCGCAGTGCCCCCTCGGGCCCCGGATGGGGCGGGCGCGGCAGGGGGCGGGAGCGGGGGCCGGGAGGACCGGCCAGAGCTCCTGCGGACCGACGACAACGACCTTTCTCGCCCTGCCTTCCGCCACCATTTCTTCTCGTCTATTCTTCTTCTCCATTTTCTTCTACACTGCTCCTGGGAGGGCCCATAGGGAAGGGAAGGAGGGGAGGGAGGGAAGGAGGGAGGGACTCCTGCTGCTGCCCCGGCTCCTGCCCCCTTTCCTGCGATGGCAACTCTCTGGTCTCGCGCCCTTCGATGGAAAATCTCTGGGCGACAGCGCATTCTATAAACCCTAAAGACCTTCGATGGAAAATCTCTGGTCTTTGGATGCGGACGACGCTCTGTGGCGATCAGAGGCAGACGTGCCTAGACGGGCACGATGCCAAATCCATGTGGGAAAGCAGCGCGCGTGGCATGCTGCAGCGAACCGCACTCCGGGAAACCGCACTATCTTGGCAGCCATGCTTTCCACAATATACCCCAGACGCTGTGCCACAGATCCTGAAAGTTTTGCTGCTTAGTATATGCCTTTGGAGGAGGCAAATTGCCGCCTCCAAAGCCGAGGGCCAGGGTGCTGGCTCCAATTGACTTGAAAAAAACCAGGCCTGACGGCATTTCGCCAGCCAGTGTTTGAGAGGTCTCGGGCAGCCGTGCCAGGAGGCCACGAGCCCCAATCGAGCCACACGTCTCAGCAATATTCTCGCAGGGCGCTGGCCTAGGGTCCGCAGTCTCAGCTTGGTCACCTTATCGTCGTTCATCTCGAACCAGACGTCGTCCGAGTGCACGCAGGCCAGGCAGTGGCCAGACTGCATCCTCTGGTCGGCGGAGACGCCCCCTGCTGGTTTGTGCGCCACGAACGAGGCGACGCGATACGTAGCAGTGTCTTCAGTACCGGCCACCGTCACCTCAAATTCGGCGGTGCCCCAATCTGCCCTGGCAGTGACGGAGTGGCGAACACCACCGAGGTCGTAAGCATTCTCCACTCGCAGCATCAACGCAGGAGAAGGCGCCGCGATGGCAGCGTCTCCGGCCAACGACACCATCAGCATACCAGCAACATTGACTTTGCCCGCCGCCGCTGCTACCTGCGCGTCGGGAGACACCTTGCACAGGATCTGGCCGTCGACGGCCTGGGCGGCTCCCGAACCGAACACTCGCGTGCGGAGGGCCTGGGCGTTGCCCAAGCACCCCAGCAGGAAGGTGGCGCACTCGGAGGCGTCCTGCTGTGTTCCTCCAGGATACATACTGTGGTGGAGGAAGTAGCTGACCAGTTTCCCCAGCAAGGGCACGGTGTCCAAGCACGTGCTGGCCGGGTCTGCCTTAGCGAGACGACTGATGTCTGAAATCTCGGCGGACTTCCACAACGATGGGGGTCACCGAGGGCCGTTCCCCGGAGAGCTAGAGGGCGCGAGGGTCACCGAGGGCCGTTCCTGGGAGGCCCAGGGGCGAGGGGTCACCGAGGGCCGTTTCCCTATGGGACAAAAGGCGAGGGGGTCACCGAGGGCCGTTTCGCAGAATGCGACAAGAGCCTAGGAAGCCGCCGATGGATGGACGGGCGCCCGCATCGAAGCACGCGCCGTCCTTGTCACCTTTTGAGATATGCATGGGCGCAGGTTGCCTGACTCGCCCTTTGACGGAAAGCCTCCGGGCATTGCGAGGGGGTCACCGAGGGCCGTTTCCCTATGGGACAAAAGGCGAGGGGGTCACCGAGGGCCGTTTGGCAGAATGCGACAGGAGCCTAGGAAGCCGCCGATGGATGGACGGGCGCCCGCATCGAAGCACGCGCCGTCCTTGTCACCTTTTGAGAGATGCAAGGACGCAAGAGATGCAAGGACGCAAGTTGCCTGACTCGCTCTTTGACGGAAAGCCTCCAGGCATTGCGAGGGGGTCACCGAGGGCCGTTTCCCGATGGGACAAGAGGCGAGGGGGTCACCGAGGGCCGTTTCGCAGACTGCGACGAGACGACTGAAGTCTGAAATCTCGGCGGACTTCCACTTTAGATCTGCCCCCCCCCCACCCCCACCCAGACAACCAAGGCGACCTTGGCGGCCGATCACACAGAGCGAGAAGCTCGCGGAGGGCCGTCTGCAAGCATGGGCATGCAGCGATGGGGGCCCCAGAGAACCGTTCCCCGGAGGCCGAGGGCCGTTCCTGGGAAGGATCTGGGCGACCACAGGACAAGAGTCGATGGGGGTCACCGAGGGCCGAGACTTGGCCTTTGACGGGAAGCCTCTGGGCCTTGTGAATTGCGAAACCTTTCAATGGAAAATCTCCAGGCTCGCACCAGATCGCTCGAGTGGAAGGTTTCTTGGAACGAAGCCCGAGAGGATCGAGATCAGAGATGGTCTGAGGCACAGGCATACGAGAGGACGTAGCGCCTCAGGCACTGACCGAGCCCCATCAGGTCGGCCTCGCCGCTGCGAAGAATCTCCAGCCTGGCAGACGAAGACGCAACGAGCTCTCGACGCAACAGAGCCCCATGCATCTGGGGCAGGGGGAGGGGCGGAGGCTGTTCCCAAAACACATCGTCACCAAGCGACATGCGTCACTGGCTTGGTAAACGAACGCTGAATCGGAGAGCTCAGCGATAACCCAGGGCCGTTTCCCCAAACGCAGTGCTCTGTCTCATGGGACTCTCAGCGCCAGAGCAACTGTGCGGAAAGACGCGCTTGTTTATATTGGAATGTCCCGAAGCCTCCAAGGCTTGCAGTGGATCAGAGCCTGCACCACGGCGTTGAGGTAACACGTATTCCCGAAGTTGGGCATGCACACGGACGGCAGGTAGAGGGTCGACAAGTCGTCTGTAACGCAGGCAAAGAAATCGAATATTCTTTCCTTGGCGAACGAGAACGAGGCCGCGTGGGCGGGGGGCATGTCTCTGAACTTCGCCCAGGCAGAGAAGACCTGTGCGATGCGCTTGATCCTGACAGGGTCCGGGCGCGGGTCCCCCTGGTCTGCTGGGTAGAGGAACTTCACCGCATCCAGCCGCTCTGCCAGGGCAGCCTGCCGCGAGGGGCGCGCTGGGCCTTCCGCGTCTCGCAGAGAGTCGATGCAATGATGATCAGCAGCAGCTCGAAACGTCCAATGCCAGGGGGCGACGTCGCTCACCCCCCCGTAGAACTTGGCGCTAGCTACGCCGAGCACGTCAGGCTGCAATGCGAAAAGACGAAGGGTAGGTACATCCACTCTGTAGGATCCAGCGTTCGTGGAGTACCTGTAAAGCGCCTGCCACAAATCGGCATCGCCGCCCCTCCTCGACGGCAAGCACTCCGGATCAGAAGCTCGCTGGGCCGCGAAAGCCTTGTACCATTGCATTGCTTTCTTCCCCGCTTTCGTCGACAGATTCTCGAGCTGAACTGATTCTCGCAAGCCTTG